AATTAATGGTTTTCATTGCTCTGGTTGGACAATCGGGCCCCTCTCGGGCTCCGAGGGGCCGGCCGGGGCCCCGGCTGTGTCCTGCTCTCCCTCTTCGGGCTGCGTCCTGAGTCTGACTGCCACTGTGGGAGGAAGAAAGGGCAAGGGTTTACCGGGCCCAGACACTAGGGGGAGCCCATGAGTAGCTTTGGTTTGGTGGGGTGGGGGCAGCCCTGTGGGTGTGCTTTCCTTTCCATGCTCCTCGTTCCGGTAGGACATCCTGTAAGCGGTCACCAGGTGCAAGATTCTGACGTGTGCATCCCGCTAAGCCAGACACCTGTTCCTCAGCTCTCTTGGGAGTGACCTCAATCTGACCCAGCGAGCTGAGTGGAAAAGAAAGTTATTTGATGGGGGGGGGGGGGGTAAGCAGGGGTGTGAAGGGTGGAGGGTCACAGCCTTTAGCCTCCTTGTCGTTCCCTTTTTTTAAAGTCTTTGTCTACAGCCTGATCACAACCTCGGCCCGTGCTCCCTGCTCTTACTCAATGCAGGTAACGTGGGCCAGCGCTGGCTCGCTGACCAGGACGGTCCACACATAAAGGCCTAGAGAAAAAAAAACGCAGCGCGAGCGGCATGATTCCCACGTTGTTTTTGGCACCGACCTGCCCCCAGGTTCAGCTAACAAAGAGATTGTCTGTCTGGACGTCCAAAAAGGCCCTCGCGCAAAAAACTTTTCTAATTCCTCCTAAGTGCCTTTTTAAGCAGCTGTTTTCTGTAAACACTGGTCCTGCTCCTGAACTGGGATTCAGATCGTTCCCAATTATTTCATAATCGCCAGGGCTGTCTGGTTGTCAGCAACAGTGGCCCAAAATACTGCCGCAAATATCTGCCCCCCGCCAGCCAGCACAAACAGCGTCTCAGTAATCCCCACCCCCCTCACTCCTACTTCCCACCAGTCGCCTCTGCCCCTCCCCCAATCCCCCCCCCCCTCCGGAAGCCGGCTCGTAACACTGAAGCCAGCCTTGTGTGATGGAATATTGTCAAAACACTCGGCCCATCGAATACACATTTAATAGTTGCTGGGGGGGGGGAACATGATCATGCCACAGCTTAAGTGGCACTGTCATCGTACCCGGGCTTTGCCAAGTAACCAGGTCCATTTGCACTGGGCTCCAAGGACCTCTGCTGCAATGAATACAATCAAACCCTCTGCTCCTATTTTCAGATACTGCTTCATTTTATTCTGAGACTTACCTTCACTATGTAATCACTTGATTTGAACGAATAACTACATGTAACTAAACGTAGGTTTGGTTTCATTCAGTAATTTTTACGTGCAATCTGAGCCACACGCGGATTCACTTGCATTTAAAATCATTAAGAAAATTAGAAGCTCATTTCCATTGTGCCGCTCCAGTTTCCACATACAGGCAGAAATAGCTTACTGATAGGGTGTATAAATATTATTGTGCTTGATTTGTTTAAACAAACTCAGGATCTCAGTAACGGGAAACTGCGCTTGGAAAGTGGATCCAAGAATGTGTTTAAATGTTTAAATGCAAACTGGGGGTGGAATGGGAGGTGGTGTGTTCTGACAGCTTTACACACAGGCAGTAGTTTATCGTTAGCTAAGCACGAAGGGAGGGGGGAGCATATGTTGCACTTATAATTAAGGATGGTGTTGTTCATGTTTAGCAACAGAAACTATGGGAGGAAGCTAAGGCGAGAGGCAGTGTGGTGATTAAGCAGCTCAGGTTCATAGTCTGTAGGTGGCTGCTTTGTGTTCCACAGTGGTCTTGCAGTAATAAGCTTCTCCATTATGCCAGGTCACTGTTCATTTGTTTTGATCAGAACAGCGAGTAAATAATTTCTTAAAAATGCACACAGATCTACTGTCCTTGGCCCCCAAAAGTACTCCATGAAGTCACCTGAAGAAAACTGTCGGGAAATGCTTTGAAAATTACATCAACTTTTAAAATGACTATAAATGGTAATGAAGTTTCATCATATTTCACCATCTTCCTGCCCATATCTCCTCAAGGCCCGTCATGTGGACACATTCTTGGATGGGAGCACAAACAGGTAGATGGAAGGTCAACTGGCCTTCACCTCAAAATGTAACAACAGTCGTATTTGAGGCAGTAACTGTATATTTCCAAATATATCCCATGGGGTTTAAACTGTCTTTCAGTGGGAAAATAATATTACCTTTTAGTCTGCCTGGAATTTCTGATGACTGATCTGACACATGGTTCATTTCATGCAGCTCATTTTGGCTTCTGATATATACCAAATCATTCAAAAATTCATATTTTCCAACAAATTTGTCTCTTTTCAATGTACGAAAACTTGCCGTACTTTTGTATCCATTTATTTTTGCGCACATTTATCATTTTAAATCCAGATTATCTCATTGCTCTTTAAATAGATCATTATTCTATGTAATACGAATTTGATAGTTCAACATGCCCGGCAATCTTTCCGTTGTTAAATCACACAACGCCACTACAAAAAGCATAATAATTTATGTCATTAACATTCTTTTGTATAGAGCTTGAATCACAACAAACTCTTTTCAACCCGATTTCTCATTATTTTGCAAAAAAAAAAAAATTATATGCCCCTTGCGTAATGACTGATGTATTTATTGTGTTACAGGGAACTAGACCAGGGAGTGTGCGTGTAAGAGAGAGAGCGAGAGAGAGAGAGAGACAGACAGAGAGAGAAAGAGAGAGAGAGAGAATCTTCTCCTGGCAAAGCATCTGAGGAATTCGAATTACCAACATTTAATTCAGGCTAATTTTTCCAAACATACCTGCAATATGCCTGCGGCTTTAAAGCGATTTTTTTGTGCAAGATGATCCTCCAGTTTCTAATGACAACTACATGTGTAAAATGTAAATCAGGGCACAGCATGCCAGTACCGGCCACAAGGAATAGCTAGGATCTCAAATTGAAAATGCATCCTTGCTCCCTGTCACCTGCATGTCATTGCCGAAGCTGCTCTTTCATACGGTATTTAGCTGCTAGCTGTTGCCGTATGTTTGATAAAGTCAAGGATTGTTGCCTCTTACTGTGACAGACTTACTAATTATACTGGTCTCATGATGAGAGTGTAAAGTGACGGGCACTGCAATCTAACCCTAATCCTTTTTCTATTCCTCTAATGACTTTGATGCACAACTAAATGGGGGCGTCCGGTTTAAAGTTTATTAACAACTTGCGCAATCACTTATCTATTTATTTAACAGATACTCTCACTGTATACACAACGGCTCGCTACAGAAAGTAATTACAAGGGGCTTGTATGCCTGAGCATGCAGATTGATTGTGTGTGGATTTTCAGTTTTTATTCATACGGGTCTGGACAGTATTATTTCAGATAATATATTACATATTACATTTCATACATTAAGTAATAAGTTACTTCATTTAACTTTATTTCTTCATTCTACAGTGTTTATTTTTTTTTTCATTTTACAGTGTGTGTAAACATCGTAAAATACCCAGGAGTAGACTGAGTGTATACATTGTAATTTTGATACGTTTTGTGAATATTCATAATATTCAAGCATAAGTGTGACGCCCGGCGATCAGGAGGAAAGCAGACCCACACTGGTTTATTTGGAGACTCGAGTACAGACAAATCCAGGGGGGCAATGCAGACGGGTGGTCGGGTCACTGGCAATGGTCGGTTTCCGGGAATGTCAGTCCTACACAAACGGACGAGACGAGTAGACGAGAAGGAAGAACTAGGATCAGCCGGGCAGGGCAGCAGGACGGAGCGGGTTGGCAGGCATGACGAACCGGGCAAACGGGAGACACAAAGAATGCTTAGTAAGGCTCATTAGATAATGGCAACAATACTTCGCAAAGACCGGCAGCTTCCGCCAGTCTTACGTAGCGGAACGATCAGCTGTGGATCGCCTCCCGGTGCTCGGCCCCGCCCACGTGAGTGTGTCAAGTATATAAATGTTATATAAACAAAACATAAAAACAAAGAACCTGACGTTTATAACTGATATAAATTAATGTATGAATGTAAAAATTCTGATACTATGAATTCTTTGTGAGTCTTAATGAGGCGAAAGAGTAGATGTATTCGTAATTGTTTCAAACTTAGAGATAACTTATTTAAGGGGGTGTTCACGTCCAAGAACAGCACAACAGCATCACCTAGTGGATGCCCTGAAAAAGTCCCCGAGTGATAAATTATAAGTATCATACAGTATTTACAACATATGTAACTAGGATATGACTAGAAGTGTCCCAATCGTACGTACATATGACAAGTTGCTTTAAATAACAACAGAATTTTGCACACCTACCGATATTAAATTTGACTTTATTCGTCCCATTCTAAAAAAAGACCTTTACATTTAAATTTACTTGTGTTCCTCCTGTACGAAAGTGGCTCCTACGTACTTGAGCATGCCATCATTAATGCTATAGACTCTGGACACCGTGCGCGATTTTCATAGCAGCTCTGTGCGATCATTTCCGCATCTCTGCTCATTATTAGTAATACATAAATTGCGTACAAAAGTGAGGCCTTGATTGTTAATGGGTGTAATTATATGTAGTTAGGTTTCAGTCAATTTATGTTTAGACATGTTACGCTACATAATTCCTTTCCTTCTATTTATATAAATGGTTTCCTGTACAGGATAAATTTTTACATATATCTTAAATATATATATTTACCAGCGCATATTTATAATCAAAACAACGGTTTGGGGATTTTTTTTTTTACCATCCTGCACTACCAACTACACAACATGCTATGTCATAACCATCGCTACCTTGCTTTTTAATTGGCAGTTGATTGCATCCAAGCATGAGACACTTCTCGGGAAAGCAGAGAGATCGCGCTTGTTAGTGTCAGGGACAGCCCACGTCGAACAAAGCGCAAGATGCACGCCCATGCATCTGAAACGTCTGAACATCTCATGTAAGGAAACGTGGCCAGAGATGGACGAGCACGTGACGGGGGCGGGGCGAAGAGATACCACGTGACTTTCGAACCTATCCCCGCGATTAGGGGGTGTGCGCGAGTCTCTGTTTGTTGTTGACGCGCGGCAGGGCTTGCAGTCCTTAACATGGCTCTGGAAGTGGAATCAGCGGAGTGAGTTCTTTACCTGCATATTTGATTATTTTCTGTATTCGGAGATTGGCAGTAATACATGAATGTTGTGCAGTGCATGCTTTGATTATTTAAGGCCTACCCCTGTAAATAAACCGCTTCATTATTCTTGATTGTCCTCGTACTTGTTGAGCCGTGTCATTCACTGATAAGGAATTAATTCTATTGATTGTGGTTTTTGCGAGAGAACTACTGTTCGTCGCATTGTATACGTTGTTTGCGCGCTATATTTTATTGCAAACTTCCGGTCTTGGCTATGTGCATAAATTAGTAAAATCATTATGGGCTAATTAAATGTCTTTATTGCAGTAGCTTGCTGACGAGATCAGTTAACTTCATCTCTTAATGCTACTGGGGTAATTAAACGGCTGTACAGTACTAAACCTTGTTTAGTAACATAACCTTTTAAATTTGTTGTCTAATTTGTTCATTCAGTGCAGTCGAGGGTGTGTTGTCTGCGATGCAGATGAAGGCTTTAAGCTCGAAAAGTTCAGTGTCTTTGTCGTCGATATAATTTTCATGCACAGGAGCTCAATGCGTAGTTTTAACGAATTTCAGAGGTTTCCAAGGAGATAATGAAATAATGTGGCTTTAAATGAACGGAGGGTCCATTTCCTTGTGGAGCCGCTTAGTAGCCAGACGGATGACGCGCTGCTAATTGCCCTTGGCAGCGTGATCCGGCTCATCATGCAGTACCTTAAGGAGAACAACCTACACCGGAGCTTGGCCACGCTTCAGGAGGAGACCACCGTGTCTCTCAACACCGTGGATAGTATCGAGAGCTTTGTGGCTGACATAAACAACGGCCACTGGGATACGGTCCTTCAGGCCATCCAGTCGCTCAAGCTACCCGACAAGACCCTGATTGATTTGTATGAGCAGGTAGGGTTCCGGCTGAATCTTAGGGGACTTTGTATTCCAAGGGAACTTGGGTAGTCTGTATAGTTTCTGTCATTTGGTGGTGCAGATCTGAAGGACCCAACTTTCTTGCCCACGTTGAAGTTCATTCATACAAGTATATTGCTGTTGAATCCAGTGTATCCAAATCTGACACTTATAGATTTGTTGTTGTTTATGAATGTAATTCCTGTGCTGTATGAGGTAGAATTGATTTCAACTAGTGAGTTTTACTTACACAAAAATTAAAGAATGAAAAATGATTGGTTCAGAGAGAGAACCAATCAGCTAGTAGAGGAGGTGGATCCAAGCAACTAGAGGATGTGGGATCATGATATGTGTTTGGTTGGTCCCACCTCCTCTAGTTGCTTGGATTTGCTTTCTCTACAATCTGATTGGTTATCTCTCTGAACCAATCATTTTCCTTCTGCCCTCAGAACATTTTTTTTTGTGTAAGTAAAACTCCCATGAGCTTGATTTCAGCTGCTGGAACCTTTTCAGACTTGATTGAGTGTGATCTGCTTGTTCACACAGCAGAGGTCTGGCGTCCTGTGTTTGGGATGTTTGTAGCATTTGGCGGGTGTCTCCTCAGGTTGTATTGGAGCTGATTGAGTTGCGTGAACTGGGCGCGGCCCGCTCCCTGCTCCGGCAGACAGACCCCATGATCATGCTGAAGCAGACCCAGCCTGAGCGCTACATCCACCTGGAGAACCTGCTGGCACGCTCCTACTTTGACCCGCGGGAGGTGAGCGCCCCCTCCTGTAGGCACGGTTTGGTCTGGTTCGTTTGGCTCCCTGTAGGCAGATCCTGATTGGCTCCCTGTAGGCAGATCCTGATTGGCTCCCTGCTTCACTCTGTGTGCCTCTCGCGCTGTGAGATTTCTTGTAGAGTTGAGAGGTTTATTCTGTGCTCATAAGCGAAACTGTGTTGTGAAGTTACCAGAATAAAATGCCACGCGTCGTGCAATCTGCCTTTTAGGAAGAAAGCCCTCGGCAGATGATTCTGAAGGTTAATTACAATTGTGAGGCTGTTTGTTTGTCCAACTGTTTACCGAACAGCGTCTTAGTACATTGTGTGCTGGATCTCGAATCCTGGATTGGGTCCAGCATGGTCCTATCTCTGCAGGTGATAGGGATGCCTCTGGCAGTAACGGAGCTGTCACCCTGTCCTTTTCATGTTCAGGCCTACCCAGATAGCAGCAGCAAGGAGAAGCGACGAGCAGCCATCGCCCAGGCGCTGGCGGGCGAGGTCAGCGTGGTCCCCCCCTCGCGTCTCATGGCCCTGCTGGCACAGGTCTGTGCCCCCCATGTAACCAGCCGACGCCGTACCGGGCATTTCCCTGCCATTCCTTTGGCCTGCCCCGAAGCTACTTAATTACACTGTGAGAGGCTTTATTTCTGTGCTCTATACACTTACCCAGCAGAAGGATTTCGGGGCTATAATGGGGGCAGTGGTCGGCGCAGAGGGTTAGGCTGCTGTGATCGGAAGGTCATCAGTTCAGATCCCAGGGTTGGCAGAGTGATGTCGCCGTCGGGTCCCTGAGCAAAGTCCTTAGGCCCCAATTACTCCAGAGACTGTCAACCGTGACTTCTGAATTGCATGTCACTAAATAAAATGTAATAATTCTGCTTGTTTGGCCCTGCTATTTTAAGGATTCCAGAGAGCACTTCCCTTATTTCCTCCTACCCTTCTATATATTAAGCATGATTCTGCCATCAGGAATTCCATGCTGGTACCTTTGCATCGCTGCATTTCCTGTCACATTTGTGTTCTGTTTTCCTGGAGATGTTCAGTGTTTGGTCGCTATTCCCACCCATACGATACGCAGTCGCTGAAATGGCAACAGCACCAGGGCCTGTTGCCCCCAGGGATGACCATCGACTTGTTCAGGGGCAAAGCAGCCGTGAAGGATGTGGAAGAGGAGCGTTTCCCCACCCAGCTCAGTCGCCACATCAAGGTACCCCGCCACACGGGGGCGCCGCCGCGCGCCCATTCGCTCGTACGCCTCCATCCTGCGAGGTATTCGCAAACACACCGCATCTGACAGCTGTTTTGTGCCCGTTGAAAAACCGCCGTGGGCGCCTTAAAGAAAGCGTCCTGGGAATTAGTTTGTTTATTTCGTTTAAGTCGCTGCTTTGTGACTCACTGCTTCTTCCCTACCGAGTGTGGGAGCTGCAGAGAGGCGCGGTAGCCGCCCCGAGGACCATGAGTCTCACGCCCCCTTTGTGTCCCGCTGCCCCCTGCAGTTTGGGCAGAAATCCCACGTGGAGTGTGCTCGCTTCTCCCCCGACGGGCAGTACCTGGTCACCGGCTCCGTCGACGGCTTCATCGAGGTGTGGAACTTCACCACGGGCAAAATCCGGAAGGTGTGTGAGTATCTCTGCGTGTGGAGGGAGATATAATAATGGCGATGGGAACCTTGCATCATTTCAGATACCAGCAGAACTTGGGCATACACCGAGGTTCAAATATGTCAGCTGGCAGACTTGAATATCTGTGTTCTATTTCCGTCATGGTTGTATAATTTGCCACCTCAGCATTACTTTGTTTACTCACCGATCCCTGTAGTGCAGGGGTGTCAAACTTCAGTCCTGGGGGGCCAGAGCCCTGTGTAGCTTAGTTCTTTCCCTGTTCCATCACAAACGGTTCTGGTGAAGAGCTGCGGGATAATTAGCACAAGGAGGTGCAAGGAGTTGAATCAGGTGTGTTAAATCAGGGGAAACCCGAAAGTGTGCAGGGCTCCGGCCCCCCAGGACTGGAGTTTGACACCCCTGCTGTAGCATATAAAACGGAGTCATGTCAGTCCTGCAGTGTCACCCGTATTTAACGGCACAACTGGGGCTACTTTCGAAAGGTCCTAATTAAACTTCTCAGAACACTGCAATGTAGTTTCCAGGCTCCTAGTCATTTGTTTGGGCCCCCGCCAGACTCTGGTCCAGCTACTCGGGGGCCTTAACTGTGACAGAGCACCAAATGTATAAGAAATGGCAAGGGAGTCCCCCCCCCCCGACCTCCACAGTGAAACGAATATTTATGAAAGTGGATAGTTGTGAATGGTGTCGTAATGCAGGCCCCCATTAAGCGCCTGCCGGCCCCTCCAGTCGTAAAGAGGCGACAAGCTTTTAGGAGTTTCGGCACGGCAAACTTTCAGGCAGTCGGCTGGTGCGCTGGGCCCGAATTTTCCCCGGCTGTGTGGGCGGAGCCGATTCGTGACTGCGTGTGGGTGGCAAACTCATCATCCGTCTTCTCTCTCCCTGCCCGCCCGCCGGCCTGAATGTTGGCGGCGGAGGACAGGATTTGAAGTACCAGGCCCAGGACAACTTCATGATGATGGACGACGCCGTGCTCTGCATGTGCTTCAGCCGCGACACTGAGATGTTGGCCTCTGGCGCGCAGGACGGCAAGATAAAGGTCCGGGGGACCCGGGCGTCCGTACCTTCTGGGGCAAAAAGGGTGGCAGGGTTCCGCTACACATACAGTTCCTTGTTTGGGGACCATGGTTCTGTGTTGTTCTGCAATCACTAACCATAACACCGTTACATTCACTGTACTCTGTATTCACTATGTTTAGTACTGCCTCCTGATTGGTGACTGCTGGATGAAAATCTAATCTCTGATAGGCTGTATGTGGTGTCCGTAATGCATCTTTGAGAGGCGGACCTGCCTTTCCATCTCCCGGTAGGTGTGGAAGATCCAGAGCGGCCAGTGTCTGCGTAGGTTCGAGCGCGCCCACAGCAAGGGTGTCACCTGCATTGCGTTCTGCAAGGACAGCAGTCAGATCCTCAGTGCCTCCTTTGACCAAACCATCAGGTGAGCAGGCTGCCGGGATCTACAGCAGCCCCACCCCCCCACACGCGCGCACGCATAATGTCATTACATCTGTCCTCTCTTCCCCTTTAAGAGATGCCAGGCTTGATTACAGAGGCATAATCCAAGGCTAGAGAGCCCCATCCTTCTCTGGTCATTAATCTGCCGCTGGCTCCCATGAAAACTCCGCTCTGAAACGAGTAGAAGCACAGACGCGAGTGAGGAGGCAGCAGCGGGGATTTAATGAGGATTGGAATAAACAGACAGCTGGTTCAGCACGTTGCGACGGATTGCCATAGAAACGCCTGCTCCACGATTCCCTCTGAGAATTGGGGCTTCGAGTGATGAGGGAGGGAAGCGGAGATAGCGGTCAGACCAGGGTATCGACAAATTCCGCACAGTTCTGCCGCAGGCTGGACACACTCCATGTTCTGATACGAAGATTAGACCCTTCGATGAACAGGCTTTGAAAACAGATCGTTTCAGTGATGCAGCGTTTCCATTAAAATCCCATTTAACAGCAGGCTCTGGCAGCACGGCTTCGCCTTGAATTGCTTTACTGAAGAAGGGAAATTGTGTTCGGCTGTATTTTACTTTCGTGACTGCAGTTAAATTGGTCTCCTGTTCCCTCGGTTCAAACAGAGTGCACGGGCTGAAGTCAGGGAAGCTGCTGAAGGAATTTCGTGGGCACACGTCGTTTGTGAACGAGGCCACGTTTACCCCCGATGGACATTACATCATCAGCGCTTCCTCTGACAGCACCGTCAAGGTACACAGCAGGGCTCCGCCCCCAAATGAGGCAGGGCTCCACCCCTTTAGAGAGGAGCAGGGCTCCGCCCCTATGTGACACAGGGCTCCGCCCCCAAATGAGGCAGGACTCCGCCCCTATGTGAGACTGGGCTCAGCCCCAAGCATGGCAGGGCTCCACCCCCAATTGAAGTAGGGCTTCACACCACTTGAAGCAGGATCCCCCCCCCCACCCCAAGCATGGGGTGGAATCCACAGAAATGTACACAAACTACAGTTAGTTGTAATGTGTGATATTCATCACTGTGGGCTGTGGCTGGAAACAGCATATACTCTAGCTATGAAGGGTTATTGTTGTTTATTTTTCTTTTTTTCTTTGATATGTGTGAGTTTTGGAGTAATGTGTGTTTTCTCATGAGCTGCCAGATATCACAGCTGGTCCCTCCCTCTCCGCCTCTCTCATACACACACCCAGATCTGGAATGTAAAGACGACAGAATGCACAAACACCTTCAAGTCCCTGGGCACGTCGGCGGGCACGGACATCACCGTCAACAGCGTGATCATTCTGCCCAAGAACCCTGAGCACTTTGTGGTGTGCAACCGCTCCAACACGGTCGTCATCATGAACATGCAGGGCCAGGTGAGCCCACTGATTCCCCAAATTATGAATAAGCTCTTATTTAATATTACTGTAAGTACCGTCTACATCAGGGGTGTCAAACTGCAGTCCTGGGGGGCCGGAGCCCTGCACATTTTTTGGTTTACCCTCATTTAACACAACTCCTTGTGCTGATTACCACACAGCTCTTGAGCTGAATCATTTGTGGTGGAACAGGGAAAGAACTTAGCTACACAGGGCTCCGGCCCCCCAGGACTGGAGTTTGACACCCCTGGTCTACTTAGAAGTAGTATTTGACTTAGCCCAATCCGCTGATCCGGACATCATTCGAGGAAGGCCTAGCCTAGCCTGGCCTCTGAATTTTACCCTTTTTTGTGCTACAGATTGTAAGGAGCTTCAGTTCCGGTAAACGGGAAGGGGGAGACTTTGTGTGCTGCACGCTATCCCCGCGGGGGGAGTGGATCTACTGCGTGGGGGAGGACTTTGTGCTCTACTGCTTCAGTACCATCACCGGAAAGCTGGAGAGGACGCTGACGGTGAGCACCTGCCGGCTAGCCCCACATCCTCAGCTCCCTTCCTCAGAGCCTCGCGCTCTCTTGTGGTCTGCGTACTGCCAACTAGCCCCACGTCCTCAGCTCCCTTCCTCAGAGCCTCGCGCTCTCTTGTGGTCTACGCACACCTGGGTGGTTCCATTTCGGCAGCATAAGTCACGCCCGCCGTGTGGCGGGTTGCCAGGTCTGTCTAGCTCTTTTTATTTGTCGTTGGCGAAGCAGATAGGCATCCTGGACAAGACCCCAAATTCCTTCCCAGTATAATAGCAAATATCCAGAGAATGACCTCCCAGGTGTGCTACAGCAATGTGGTCTTTGGTCAGGCGTCAGTGTCCCCTCTGTTCCACTGCCTTAGTTCATACCTTATTTTAAATTAAGAGTCTGATTCCTGAGGTGACCTCCCTGGAACCACAGTAAACACCCATTGGGCACCGAGGTGGACATGGCCTTAGGTCAGTAGTGTGAGTCCTGAGGACTTGACTGTTACCACAGGTATGCGTACTTGACTGTGTTGTGTTCTTGCGTACTCGTTTTACGTCATCTTTCATTGCTGAAGACCAGTTCCAATACTAAGAACAGAAGTTCAGAGGATGTCGTTCTTCCCTCGTCCCAAATTTCATGGATGCATTAGTTGCATCCTCGCCAAACGAGACCATTGCATTCATTGCATCCAAAGTTCGTTCTTGGGAGGCGAGTTGGCAAGACCGCTCTTGCCAGGACCGCAAGTGCGACCTTTGCTCTCTTTTGTGTTGGGTAACACCCCAAGATTCTTGGCTTGAGTGAATCGTTAATTTCACTGGGTTGGGTTCCCAGAGTGGTAGCTGCATGTGAGCCGCGTCTGATTCAGAAGTGCTTGCTGGTGACCCATCGCCCTGCATTCTCCCGCAGGTCCATGAGAAGGACGTGATCGGCATCGCTCACCATCCCCATCAGAACTTGATCGCCACCTACAGTGAGGACGGCCTCCTCAAACTGTGGAGGCCCTGAGATTGACGTGGGGTGGAGTTGCACCAAGCTTTATCTATTTTATTTATTATCATCACTTAGACCATCTTTGGTTCCAGATCTTATAATCCATATTTATTTTGGAGGTAAAGTGTTTTCTGGGAATCATCTGGTTGTATTTTCTGCTAAAGTGCACTGGACTGGACTGGTTTGTTTTTTGGGTTTATCTGACAGCATCGTCGTGGCAGATGGGACGTAGTTCTCATTGCAATCTCGCCGTTTGCCTGAATGCATGAACGTTTATATTACAGCAGGTGTGAAGCATACCAGATGCTCATTATTTGTGTTCATTGTGTATTCCTATCCTGAAGCATCCGCCTGCATGCGGGCCACTGTTTAATGGCGTTACAGAAGATAGAGTTAGCATGACGCTGATTACAACGCACTTTTCTCAGAATGACTGGAAGGTTTGTTTGTTTCTGAAGTAGTGCATGTTTATTTGTTTGGTGTTGATTTTCTTGCATACTAATGCGTTGTGTGTGTATCTTTCAGGAATATTTATAAACAACATAAAAGCCAAACAGTTATTTTTTGTGATATTTCATATTAAGCAGATAATATGGAAATGTTTGCCTTTTGTAAAACTAGTTTTAACTGGGACACTTGCTTAAGTAAAAATGCAGTATATATTTTTAGCTATTGGAAATATGTGTTTACTTTTGTTGCCTTAAAATGTGGTTAATGTTTGTGTGCATCTTTAGTGGTGTTTCAGACTATTTTTGAAATTGAGTTGGATGTCATTTGTGATGGTCCAGGAAAACTGACCTAAATATGTGAACTCAGAGGCCCTAACTCTGGTGCTTCTCCTAACTGTACTTGGAACCAAGAGCTGTCTTCTGCATCGTAGTTATAAACCTCATCTGCATGCAAACTCCTGGATGCATTACAAGTCGTGACTGCATGTTTCTCCCTGATAGTTATAACACAGTGACTTACTGCTTTATAACTTTATACGATATGTCATTGTTCTGGGTGTTTATCTGCCCCAGCTGTCTGTTAAATCCTCACCAGCAATGACAGGAAAATATTACTAAAAAGGCTGTGAACACTGGCACCTACAGGCAGCTGCTGTCATTGCATATAACCTGTGATGAAATCAGAGCACAAAGGTCCTCTAATCCAGTTGTAATATCTTCCTGATTATGCTGCTTATTTGCCATCATCCTTGTGCTAGGCTGTTAAACTATAAATCCATAGATTGTTAAATAGCAACCTGTTACTCAAGGGCTCAAGACATTCATTGTTTTGTATGTCAAAGAATAAAAATGCTTGTTCCCGCATTCAAAATATCCTTTGGTCAAAAAAGTTGTGAATCAGTTTCCCCCTCCCTCAGGACCACAATGAGAATTGGGTCTTCTGTAAATATTCAAATTAAATTAGGCCACACGGTTAAGAAATTTCAGTTTGGGTCACGGGCATCTCATTTGGGAGCAGGTGATGGGTAATGAACGGCACGGCGGGAACCCGCCGGCGGAGCACATGGGCACGGTGAACAGTGGCCATGTGCGGGGCAGTGTTCAGCGTTGCGCTCACAGCATGCCTGTCTGTCTCAGATTAATGTCCCACTGCTCAAATGAAAGCTCAAACAGCTCCCTGCTGGCTGATGCTGTATTTACCTTGCAGTAATCCCCTTCATAAGAGCTCAAAGGATATGAATTCTATGCTTTATTATACATACTTCAGATACTTCTGTACAAAGGGCACATTATCTTCGTGCCAGGCATCGACGATGCGGCCTGATGAAGGTATGCCTGATTCTACAGACAGGCTCGTTCCTGTCACCGTTTTAATCAAAGCAGGTACGACGTGGGAGGACAAACATTTACTTTGGGTTGGAGGGCATCGCAGCATCGATCTCTGATTAAATGAGTGTGAATTTAAGTGGGAGTGGAGGTCACAGCCTTTCTGTCCTTGAGGCAGACTTTTTAAATTACGTTTTATTTAAAAAAAAAAAAACACTGAGGTAGTCAGCAAAAATGATAAAGCATAAAAATCTGAAGCTCGGATGCACTAGAGGGGCTACATCACATTTTCAGGCAACAGAATTCACCACAACAGTGATGATACTAACATACAGGGATGTACTGGATACCAAATCATTTTCCACGTACGTATCTTGGAAATCAAACCAAGATAAGTGATGGATGAATGGATGGATGGTTCTTCCATGTCAATTAGGATGTGACAGAGGTGGGAGACTCATTATAAAGAAAATGTACTTTTATTTTAATTTAAAAATACAAGTGTTACCGATAAAAATGTTTTATTAGTACATAGTTCAGTTACTTCAGGACGCTGAGCTCCCATCGGAGGTGGCTTTTCATCTTCGGTGGGATGCAGATCTCCGCGTCTGAAGCAGATGGAGAGGAACAGCATGTTGTAAACACACTGCATGGAGCTGAGGGCCGCTGAGGTAACCCTGTGCGATGCGGGATACGCACCTTGCTGAGTGGCCACAGGGGGCGCTCTTGGCTGCTGGAGTGAGGCCGCGATGCTGTTTGCTGTCGAGTTAGGTCCCATCACCTTAGATTCAAAAGGAAACACAGGAAAAATAAGTTTACAGGGGAAAATGCTGGCTTTACAATCACATTACAAAGACATTTATTTGTGGAACTCCTTATACTCCACCCACTTTTGTCACAACCAATCAACTGGTACAGTATAGGAGAGCTGCGTGCTGATAGGATGTGGAGGACTCACAGGGGCGGAGTTCTGCTGTAGGTCCTCTGGCCAGACCGCCGGAATGGATGACTCGAGGAGTAGCAGGACCTCGCCATAGTCCTGCTGCAGACGCTGTGCCTGTGGGTCCAGTTCAAACAGCACCAGTGCCTTGAGCAGGGCGTGCACCTCATCTGAGAAACGGCAGAGCCATCTGGTTACGGGAGGTGCGTTGCTGTCCCCAAGCCGATGACAACTTGGGCTGAACTGTTCACTGAACCACCATTCATCATATCGGCTTGAAGGCTTGACGTTTAAGTAGTGATGGCCAAAATAAGCTTCATGAACCATGCTCTGTATTTTCTAACTCCACTAGATGGTGCTCTTGGCTTGTTTTGAGACATGCTTTGAGCCCATTTTTGAACAGAGAGCACCATCTAGTGGTGTCAGAAAATATAGCAAATGGTTCATGAACCTTAGTTTGGCCATCACTAGTGTTAATTCAGTGAGTGTGTGTGTGTGACGCAGGCATAACCAGGCACCTCGCAGCTTATCCACAGCATGGACGATCTCCGTCAGGGCGTAGAGTAATGCCACATCCTCTAGGGGGCTCCCCTCCTTCAGGCTGTGCTTCTTCCGCTCCGCCTTCCGCCGGTTCTTCGACGTCCTCCTGCATATGTACCCATTGTCATGGAGACAAAAACGCACACAAATACATTTCATCTCACTCAACAGACGCCGCAACACTATTCTACACTTCTTCTCCTTTACCAAACAGGCAGTTCAGGCAGGTTGGTGGATGAATTGAGTCACTAAGAACAGCATTTCTCAAACCAGAAATGTCTGGGGGTCCTTGGGGACCCCCAGACAGTCTACATTCCTGCTTCTGCGAACCAGTGTGAGAAACACCGACTAAGAGAAACAGCTGATTTAGCGGTTAGATACTAGGGGGTGTGGCGACTTACGCAGAAATGCGCGAGTTGCTTTGCGAGTACTTGGAGCCCGGGGCACTGGCCGTCATCACGCTGCTGGCTTCAGAGAAGAGCTCCGCATCGGGACAGTCGGGGACACCCTCATCTGGGGACGGTGACACGTTGAAGACCGTCTTTAGAAGCATTACATCCTTAACGCACGGCTGCCTTTCGCAGTTTCCGTATTTTCAGGAT